TTTCCATGGTCTTTCCCCGTATGAGGTGTTATTTGGGCGCCCACCTGACTATTCCATGCTGCGAACCTTTGGTTGTGCTTGTTACCCTCTGTTAAGGCCCTATAATCAACACAAATTTCAATATCATTCTRACCAGTTTGTGTTCCTTGGTTACAGTGCTATGCATAAGGGATATGCTGCTACTTCCCCTCTATAGGTCAGATTGTTGTCTCACGCCATGTACAGTTTGATGAGACTCACTTCCCATATGCTACTGTCTCTCCAACAATTGATTCTTCACCACCCAATACTGGTGTTACAATCACAATTCCTACTTCTAGGACTCACACACAGTCTCACAATCTTTAGCCCCCTTCAGTAGTAAGGAACGACAACCATCTCTCATCTGGGCTCACTACCCCAGCAGCTAACCTGCCATTGGCTTCGTCTCAGCAAGGTATACCGTCCAATGATTCTGGACTCTCATCTCCAATAGCGTTTTAGCCTACCATGCCGTCCGCTGATTCTGGACTTTCATCCCCAGTAGTTGTACTAGCCGATATTGGGCCCTCTCAGTCATCTTCTAGGCCCATAGACTCTCACAATGATGAATTCCCACCTCGCAAGGTTTTGCCACTCTCTGATATTCTCCAACGGGCTGCAGTTGTCTCTCTAAAAGCCGATCCTCCCCCTCGGCCTCCCCCTCGGAACTCCTGTCACCACCTTCACGAAGCTCACCTCTTTGAAGCTGCTCCTATTGAACCCACCTCCTACATAGTCGTAAAGAAATATCCTTAATGGCAATTAGCAATGCAAGTTGAATATGATGCCTTGATGAAGAATGACACTTGGTTGTTGGTACCGGCTCCCTCTCATGTTAATATTGTGGACTTAAATGGATTCTCAAGGTGAAAAAGAACTCAGATGGCTCCCTTGCCCGCTACAAGGCCCGCTTGGTGGCCAGAGGCTTCACTCAGCAATATGGGCTTGATTACACAGACACTTTTAGTCCAGTTATAAAGCCAGTGATTATACAGACTGTTTTGTCTATTGCCATCTCAAACAATTGGCCCATTAGGCAACTAGATGTTCACAATGCTTTCCTTCATGGCGTTTTGACTAAAGATATTTACATGGCACAACCACCCAGTTTTGTTGATAGACGTCATCCCAACTATGTGTGTAAACTCCGTAAGGTTTTATATGGGCTTAAACAGGCCCCCAGAGCCTGGTTCTTTCGATTATGCTCTCACCTATTTCAGTTGGGCCTTCAAGGGTCTTCTTGTGATCCTTCTTTGTTTTTGTTTCACTCTAATAGGCTCACTCTTTATGTGCTTGTGTATGTCAATGACATCATTGTCATAGGTGACCAGCCCTCAACGGTCCAAAAACTTATTAATGATCTCTCACATAGCTTTGCTATTAAAGATCTTGGGGACCTTCATTACTTCCTGGGTATTCAATTTCAGCGCACTCCATCTGACTTGTTCCTCTCACAACACCAATACATCCTAGATCTCCTTCAGAAGGCACATCTTACCAAGGCCAAACCTATGCCCACTCCTTTGGCTTTCAACTGCAAACTCCCCAAGAATGATGGTGCTCCACTACCTGATCCAACAGACTACAAGAGTATAGTTGGGTCCCTCCAATATGCTACTATTACACGGCCTGATGTGGCCTATGCAGTTAATAAGATCTGCCATCTTAGCTCCCACCACTACTCACTAGAGTGCTGCCAAACACATCTTACGTTATCTAAAAGGGACTCTTGACTATGGCTTATGTTTGAAGCCTTCACAATCATCTCAGCTGCAAACCTATACCAACGCCGATTAGGCCGGGTGCCCGGATGATCATAGATCCACTAATGGGTTTGCTCTCTTCCTTGGAACCAACCTCATCTTATGGAGTGCCAAGAAGCAACACACCGTTGCACGTCCTAGAACGAAAGTTGAACTTCGTGCCCTTGCCACTGCAGTTACGGAAGTGATTTGGATTTAGCACCTTCTAAAAGAGCTTCACATCTCGTTGGGTTCCCTTCTTGTTGTCTGGTGTGATAATGCTGAGGCACTCTGCCACAGTGCCAACCTGATGTTTAAGGCCATACCAAACGTGTGGAAGTTGACTTCCACTTCGTCCGTGATCTGGTACTACAGTGTGCACTCTCCCTTCGATATATGCCAACAGAAACTCAGCTTGCAAATGTATTCACCAAGAATGTACCTCACTCCCGTTTTAGTTTTTTTTGAGACAAGCTGAACATGTGTGCCCCAGTTCAACTTGAGGGGGCATGCAAGCAAGATAATGTTTATCCTCACCATAACCCAGATTTGTGATAGACTCAGTCCCATGTATTCTAGTCTATCTAGAACTCTTGTATCTTATCATTTATCTCTTATCTCTTGTAACCTACTTATCCCTTATCCCTACTGTAATCCATATCAACATACATATATAAATACTTGACTTGGGTATCACACCAGCATTGTATGTTGAACCCGTTCTTTCATATTTTTGCATTTTAGTTTCATAGTGAAAATATTTCATCCCCTACTGTGTTGAAACTTGAAGCTGTCCAATTCAGCCTATATATGGTCGGTCCAAGATCCGATAATGTGGCGTGTTTGGGTCCAAATCTTCTGTTAGTTTTGAGATTTTAATGGATGATAAAAAACAGAAGCATCTACCATAGATGCTACATTTGGATTCAATAAAATGTGTGTGGTTGGACTGAAGCGACCATATATATTACAGTACCATGCTCAATTCTGAATGAAAGAAAACAAACATGTGGACCAACCAAATCTTCTACATTTCTAACCTTATAGATACACACCTAGAGAATTTGTGTGCATGGCGCACAACGAGATCGACTAGAACTCTTCATAAATTCTACTTTTAATACTAATCAGCCGGCCGGAGCTGGCCCATGTACATTCACTTGATGAATGGCTCTGCCTGCTATAAGCTGTGTTTGTTTCTCCCTAATATTTTCTAATTTGTTTTGATGTAAATGGCCAGGAAAACAAAAGTTATTGTAACAACAAACGAAATATGGATCAAATATCTCATCTGAAAAAATTTCCATCCACAGCTTTATTTATTCCTCTGTTATTGATACTTTCCGTCAAGATGATTTTCATGTTGAGCTATCAGTTAAAGGAAAAATCTTGTCGGCTAGGTGCTATGAATGGGTTTAGGGTAGGGTTGCAAACAGTATCTGAATTCGATCTCATTAGGGTGATTTGAATTCGATCTGTTTATGATTAGATCAAATATGGATCCGCCCATATCCGATTCCATTCAATTTAATCTCTTATATACTTAAAGTTTGTATTATATATTTTAGTAAATATGTTTAAGTTTTGTATTTTAAGTTTTAACTAAATTGTCTTGAGTTGAAGTTTCATACAAATAATTTTCAATTCATTTTCTTCATGAAATACAACTTCCAAGGTATTTTTAGTTCATTTTATTAATGATATGGAAACATCTGATATTTTAATCATTTTTAGTTCAATTTATTTATACTATTCAATATCTAATTAAAATTTGAATTCGATTAGAGGCTGATATAAATTCTGTGAATAAGATCTGATTCGAATTTAAATACAAATGAACCAAATTTGGATGTATATCTAATATCCCATTCAATTCAATTCGCTTTGCAGCCCTAGCTTGTGGAGTCCGGATCTCCTGCCCACGAGAACTCTGCCTACGTTTATTGCAGTCACATATGAAGAATATCTCACCTTCTTCATAGTATTATGCTGGGGGAGATGTTCCCAATTCACAGGGGATAGTGTATTGTGGGTAGGCGTGGGCAGAGCTCTCATGAACAGGAGATCCGGACTTGCTTCGAGGGCCTTCCTAACATGGCATGCGTCCAATCTCCAATAAATCAGGACCCACCGCTAAATGTGTGATGCCACTTCTTAGGCATTGTTTGGCACCGAGGCATTGTGTGCCCTTTTCGAGTCCACGTAGGTACCACATAGGATATTCTGCTTCAACGGTCAAAAAACCTATTTGGTTAGACCTTTTTTAGTGAAAAACAAGCAGAATCAGAAACGCCTAGAAATCCACATAATTTACAACCGCTCACAACACCAAAAAGGTGTTTTGAGCAAGTGGCTAGTGTTTCTTGCAATGATCATGTGACGTGGCAGCAACATTGCAGACATGACCTTTTTAACATACATGGTGTTTGAAAGCGTGGGTGCTTTTTGGGATTGATTTTTAAGAAAAAGCGCCCATGCTTCCAAAACTTGTTTTTCACAAAAAAAAAAAAAAAAACTTCTGCCACGTAGGCTGTGAGCAACACTATGCTGTTTGGTAAGTTGAATTTCATCACCATTTTTCATGTATGTGCTGACAGGTAAGCACCACATAGGATACACATCAGTCAACCATTGGGAGAGACGGTTCACCGATGCATGAAACACCAAATTTAACGTTTCATGCATCAATGAGGTCCCGATTTTTTAGGCATACCCGATTTTTTAATAATCGACTGAACCAAACAATGAGATACATGGGCATTTGTTGAAACACCTATATGGATCCGACGTGACACCATTTTTTGAAGAACGGCCATGGTTCCAAACATCCCCATAGGTGAAATCATTGCATGTTATCCTATATGGCAGCAACATTGCCAAACCGTTTGATGGCCGTTTCTAGTGAGGTGTTGCACTGCTGTTTCCAGTAGAAAACACCTCACTGAAGACAATCAAGGTACCAAACACCTACAAATTCAATAAAAACCAACATCATATATCCTTGCTATTTTCTAATCATGCTGATCATGAGTCATGACATTAGAAAGTAGAACATCTTAAATGGGCCTAAATCACTTCAATGCTGAATTCGTATGCTTTAAGTGGGCTACTTAATAAACCCAACCACGTCAATCACCTTAAAATAGCTACTAGAACTAAATTCGCTTTTATAAAAGGGAATTCCAAATCCACCCTAATCCAAATGCAACTAGAACTATAACTAGCTAGGGCTGGGATTTCTGTTAGTACCTTGCCTAGCGGCTACCACCCACCCTATACCCGAAACCTAATCGCCAATAAGAATCCAACAGTTTTGTACTTTTGGCCTTACAAAGGACAACCTCGGAGGAAACAAGTGGGAATCTTCAACGGCCGGTTATCTCTCCTCTCCACCATCAAACGAGAGTCGAGAGTCGAGAGAGTCGAGAGAGTCGAGAGAGTCGAGAGGGAGAGGATCCCGCTCAGCCTCTCTCTCACTCTCCGCTGGATTTCCACAAGGAAAGATATTCTCACAAATCACAACCTTTTGTTGTCTGAATCTGCCATCCAATGAGTGATGAACACACAGTAGCAGATATCTCGGGTCTCTTTCTTGAGCCAATTGCCAATTTGCCACCATACCAATAGAGAGCGGATGCCTCGAACTCGAATAAAGAGACTGAGGCCATTGAGGACCACACACAGGGCACGTGACCCTCAGCCTTATATATATACATACGACACGTGACCGTTGCAGTATGACAGTATCCCAGTATCACGCATGAAAGACTGGGGTGGGGAGAACACAATTACATCCACAAGTTTCAAACTCCCATAGTCACAGATGTGACTATGTGAGATTGTGAGTGATGAGTGATCCCGGCTCTCTCCAACCAAATTTACGCTCCACCATCCTTCATCGTTCATTCCAACAAATTAACTAACTACCTCTCTCTCTCTCTGACCCGGCTCATTTACATCTCTGACTCTGAGACTGAGTTCACTTGAAAGAAATGTAGCAATTAACTCTGGCCCTGACTCTGGAGATCTCTCTCTCTCTCTCTCTCTCTCTCTCTCTCTCGCTCTCGCTCTCGCTCTCTCCCTCCCTCTCCAAGCTCCTCTGTGTTTTTTCTGATTCTCGATAACAATGTAGTGTAAAGAAGATGGGTAGGAGAAGAGAAAAAGACCCCAAATCTCTCACTCTTCCTTCATCTCCTGCTCACTCTTTCTCTTCTTCATCTTCATCAGACTTCGAGTTCACCATCTCTTTATCTCCCCGCAAGGCCTCTTCCAATCTTTGCCCAGCTGATGAGCTCTTCTACAAGGGCCAGCTCCTCCCTCTCCAGCTCTCTCCCCGCCTCTCCATGGTTCGAACTCTCCTGCTCGCCTCCTCCAGCTCCTCCTCTTGCTCCGACACCACTACCACCGCTTCTCGAGACTCCACCGGTAGCTCCAACGACTCCAACTCCTCGTTCTCCAGTGATCTTGTCTTACTCGCCGAGTGTGACTCGTCTCGGCCGAGTTCGGTGACTGAGGAAGACGAGTTTAAGCGTCTCAACCATAGTTATCACCATCAGAGCCCACAGGTCAAGAAACCCAAGTACTTCTCTCTGGCCAGATTCTCTTCCGTGTTTCGCAAAGACAACAACAGCAACAACAACAACAAGCATAGAGATCAGGAGAACGTATCGGCTTCTTCCTCTGTGAAGCGGATGAGCGCATCAGCCAAGGACGTCCTTAGGAAGTATTTGAAAAAGGTGAAGCCTTTATACGAAAAGTTATCACAGAAGCAACAGCAACAACACCATCAGCAACAGAAGACGGCGACGACGGCGACGGTGGCTTCTTTGGCCCTGAAGACTGATCAGGGGTCCGGGAAAATTAGATTAGTCTCTGCTCCAAATACAAGGAAAGAAAGCACCGGCGTGTTCTCTCATTCTTTCTCGGGAAATCTGAGATACCCACGAAGGAGAAGATGTGTTTCGAGTTGCCCATCTTCGATGCGGTCGTCGCCGAGTCATTCTGGTGTCCTCTGTCGAGGCAGTATTATTAGTGGGAAGAGCGTAATGGGAAGCATGTACCATGCAGATTCATCATCAATGGAGGAGCTGCAGAGTGCGATTCAAGGAGCCATTACATATTGCAAGAACTCTATGATCCAGGACAAGACATTGGTGAGTAAAGAGATCTGAAAGCTTATATTGTTAATTTTTGTCTGAGAGAAAATATAATCCATGTCAAGTTCTGTTTTACTTTTTGTTTTCGTTTTTTTCTTCTGCTTCCCACTAATCTCAAGAACCGAACCAGATGTCTCTTTCTCTCATGTAGAACAGCAAAAGATGTTTTTTCTTTCTCTTTTATCAAACGAATAGTTACTACAATAAACCCATCTCGATTTTCAATTAACCTAGCACTTTAGATTGATAATTCACGTCTACGGATCTTGGAGTGTGAGTTCATTTGGCCGATATGGGTGTTTGTTTCTGCTGATGGTAAAATAAAAAAATAAAAGCTTTCTTCTCTTTCTTAATTATCTCTATTTCCAGTTCTAATTCTTAAATCATTTCCATCTCCATCTCTTTCTGTTGAATTTTTCTTCTCAAATTTGGCTGTATTTTGAGTAAATTATTCACGAGGGTCGGAGGGGGGGGGGGGGGTCGTAGCCTCGTAGCCATGAACTGAACTGCACTCTCTAGTTTGAAGCAAGATTCTCGTTACTTGTGATCTCTAGTTATAATGAAATAATAAAATAATATAAATAGACAGCTTATATATTTATGTAGATCTTTGATAGAGTAGTATTCACCTACGATTATATGATGGATGTCATACTGTATTCAGTATTCCGTTGGTTTTGTTTGTTGTTTATGTCGGCTCTGAGATCCGAAAAAGCGGATGGAATAGAATAAACGGAGAGGTTTTTTTGAAATTAGTCAAATTACGGTGGACCCCACAACGGTGTAGGTGCAGCTTGGCTTCAGGACAAGTCCATGGAATAGCTGACAAACAAACCGAAATAGGCAAAATTGCCATGGAAGAGAAAATAAATGGTGGAAGCTGTGTCCATCTTCAGCAATGTATCTGCATAGTGTACCGTACATCTGGCACATCATTGTCTGATCAATTCTGCCAAATTCATTTAGGGGGCTAGCTCTGCTGCTACAACACAGCTTTCCTGTACAGCGGAACCGGGAGTAGCCGGTATAAATAACAAAAACGGATGAAACCAGCTGGTAGCCTGGTATTGGGTATTAGTCCTTGTGCAGCGCCATTTCAAACACTCAAAAATCTCAAATATAGGAGTGTAACTTTTTATCAAAAAAAACTAGGGGTGTAACTCGGATTGGTTGGATTAAAAAGAAACTCGGACGGGTTGGATCGTGTTGAAGGTCAATTCAGGCCCAATTTGAGGTTAACCCAACACAATTTAAACTGGGTTCTAGCTCGGGCTGGTCCAAACCAGATTGGTTTGGTTTGAAAAAACTTATGTATATATTTGTTATGGATTTGACTATGGTTTCAAAAAGACATCATATTTTTTTTTTCAAAAATAAAAAAGAAAGACATTATACGGAAAAAACTTATAACCAATCAATCAACCAGCATTGTAAAAGTTGTAAGCAATGACATAGGTTTTCATCAAAATTCACTACGTGCTTTGATTGGTAAAAGGCTTCTTTTTAGCATCATATATCTTTTCTATTTTTATAAGGTCATTTTTATTAGGTTGGTCTCCGCTCGGGCTACTCAAGACTTCAAGTCAGGTTTAGGTTGGACTCAAAGTTGGACCCACCCAAATTATACACCTAACTCAAACACTGGGTCCCATCCAATTCACCAAATCATGATTTTCAAAATTGGACCGGACCAGAAAATCGGTAATCGTTCAGCCCCCTAGGTCCAGTTATACTATAAATCGGTAAAACCCCAAAACATGTTGAAAAAGTCAAAAAACCACTGATCTGGGAGGTCAAACCGTTAAACCATTCGACCCAGGCAGCGGTTTATGGGTTACAAATTTTATTTTTGCTGATATAAATAAAATAATAAAAACAAAACTAAAATGACTAATATCCTCGACCTCCCTCTTACAAATGTTTAGGGTTAGAACCCTTCCCTCATCTCAGTCCTCACACTCAACCGATCAGCGATCACCTATGGCGGCCACGACCTACGACATCCGACGGTGATACACAGCGACTAACGACGATTGGCAACGGTGGCTGAGCAGTTGGCTGAGCAATTGGTGGCTGTAAAATGACCCATATCCCCGATTTTGTAGTTAGTGATTGAGCAGGCAGTGGACAGTGGCGGCCGCCGATTTTGTAGCGGTGGGATACGGAATACCTAGGCTCCGGAGGCGGCAACACTTGGTGGCTAAGTAGGTGGTGGACAACAACGGCTGACGATTTTGCAGCGGTGGGATACGGGATACCCAGGCTCCAGAGGCGACAACAGTTGGTGGCTGAACAGGCAATGGACAGTGGCGGCCTGCGGTTTTGCAGCGATGGGATACGGGATACCCAGGCTTCGGAGGCAGCAACAGTTGGTGGCTGAGCAAGCAGTGGACTTTGGACGGTTATGTTGCCACCAACACGTTGATCCAGTGGAGATTGGTGAGTCGACATTCCTGCAGACACGTGCATCTTCATCTTTAGAGTACAAATACACTGTGCTGGTGAGTGTTGACTGCTATCCACCGGCACTCCAAAGTCCAGATGCTAGACATATGTGATACGGGTCCAACAGTAACCTCTATGTATTTTTCTTTTTTTTTTACAATTTTTTGTGTTTTTTTGTAATTTTTTGGATTTTTTTTGTATTTTCCACATATGTATGAGTATGATTAGATACATTCTAATTTATTTTTATTTTTTAGTGTTTTTTTTTCTGTATTTTTTAGAATGTTTTTATACTTTTTTGTATTTTCTATTTGCTATGTATTTTGTTATTTTTGTATTTATATAGTTTTGTTTTAATGTTTTTTCTGTATTTTTTTACAATTTTTCTGTATTTTATTTTTATATTTTTTGGTAAGAGTATTTTATTTTTATATTTTCTGTGTTTTGTACTGTATTATTTTTATATTTAGATAGTTTTATTATTTGTATTTTTCTGTATTTGTTTCTGTTTTTTATTTAATTTTATGCTATTTTTATTATTTATAAATATATTTTTTATTTTTTATATATTTATGACATCACGGGTCGAACCATTCAACCCAGACGATTGAACCGCTTAACCGGAAACCGGTACCAACTCTATTTCCGGTTCGTTTTTAAAAACCTTGCACCAAATTGAAATGGTGCCCACTGCCCAGTATTCACGGCGAAAATCACACTCAACCAAACCATTGGGCCATGAAAAAATCAAGGCTTATTTGGCATTTGGGAGGCTTCAACTTTGATTAAATTGTTTTCATTGAACTGCTTTGGAGAAACTATTAAAACTACTAAAAAAAGTAGTTTATAACCTATTTGGGAGGGCCGAAGGGCTTCTGCTTCAATTGAGCTGCCTTGACTAAACTGTTTTAAACAAGTCAATAAAATTAACTTCACCAAAAAATTGATTTCTTAACTAAAATAATATATATTTTAGCTTTTCACCCAACATATATAGCTTCAAGGTTTTCCTTATGGGGCCACCTTACAAAGCCACAACCAAGAATTATTAAGCCAATCTTGAAACAGGTAAAAGAATTAATATAATACTACTTAGATCAGTACCCTGGTTGATGGAGGTTCATCACAAGGCCCATCTCATCCCTAGGGGCGGCAGTTCCTAGGATAAGGATAAGTTAACTAAGATCCAAGAATTCAAGATAAGCAAGGGATC